ACAGTAATCCAGCAGTGTGTGATATCAGCAGTGGAGTCATGAGACAGTCTGCGTGTCATGAATGTTCAGACTCCAGGACGCTGCGACACCGGCCGGCTCCTGTGGGAACAGACGAGGTCGGCGATGTACAGCGCGAGGTTGATGAAGCTCATCACAGCGACGGCGAGCTTCACGTCCCATGAGCACTTGCCCCTCGGGCAGCCCTGCGGCCGCAGCGGAGCGCCGTACTTCCCGTCGAAGCAGACGACGGGCCAAAGCACGGCAGCGCTCACATACAGCAGCACCGCGGCGAACGTGTAGATCACAGCGAGCCGCTCGAACGGCATCCGCAGGGCCCCGCTCCGGCCCGACACCGCCAGCGCCACCAGCAGCACGGCCCCGGTCAAACACACGCCGAACACCGCCGCGCAGTACAGCGTCGCTGCGTGCCGCGTGAAATCAGTCCCGCTGGCGAGCATCACGAAAATCACACATCCTACAAAGATCTGCGCCACCTTCAGGATGCCAGGCGCCGTCGCCATGTAGTAGCTCATGCCGCGCCCCGGTTTGGCCCGCGACAGGAAGACCTCCGTCCCGTACGCGACGCACGCCGCCCACGAGCACACGCTCACCGTGATCCGGAAGTTTCTGACCTCGCAGTTGTTGTACGGACAGTCATCCGCGCGCACAAAGAACACGGGATACAGGATAGACGCAGTGAGCGTGAGCAGCGCGGCGAGAGACGCACACGTCACCGTCAGGTTCTCCCAGGACACCGGGAGACACGCGTGCAGACGGGTCACGTCCAGCACCAGCACGGCCGCGCTGACGGCGAAGCAGCTCGTCCAGACCGCCATGCAGAAGGTCCCGTAGGTGGCGCTGTAACCGGCGCTGTGGATCACTAATGAGACGATGGTGCAGCCCAGCATCAGCTGACACACACGGGCCGCACCTCTGGGAGAAAACACGGCCGAGACGTTCAGATGATGACCAGCGGAGGCGCTCATGACGAGACGCTACACTAGCGCTCGAACGTTTGGGTCAAGTCTCTTCTGCTCAGCAAGGCTGCATTTATTTGATCAAAAATACAAATAAATATATATAATAAAATATTATTACTATTTATTATTATTATACTCAATTATTTTAATAAATGTTGAAAACAGTAAAAAAAAAAAACTGTCAAAAAATAAAACATGAATTAAATCATAAAATTAAAATATTTAAAAAATTATAATAAAACAAAAATAGCAATCAAATTATAGAAATGTAAAATTAAATAATTAAAAACAAATCAAAATAAAACAATGACTAAGAAATTTGTTTCTAAAATAATTTAAATAATTTAAAATGAAAACAGATATAACAAAATAAAATACTTACTAAAAATAAATAAAATCATAAAAATGTCAAATTAAAATAATGAAAATCATTTAAAAATGAAAACAAGTAAATAAAACACTCAAAATAAATAACCAAATCACAGAAATTTAAAATTAAGTAAAATAAAAAAATAAAAATAAAACAGACAAGAAATTTAATTCATAAAAATGACAAATTAAAAATATTTTAAAATTAAAATGAATCAAAATAAAACACTTACTAAAAATAAATTAAATTATAAAAATGTCAAATTAAAATAATGAAAATCATTTAAAAATGAAAACAAGTAAATAAAACACTCAAAATAAATAACCAAATCACAGAAATTTAAAATTAAGTAAAATAAATAATTAAAATCAAAATAAAACAGACTAGAAATTTAATTCATAAAAATGACAAATTAAAAATATTTTAAAATTAAAATGAATCAAAATAAAACACTTACTAAAAACAATTAAATCAAAAATATGTAAAACTTAAAGAATTTTCAAAGTAAAAACAAAATCAAAATAAAACTCTTACCTAAATTATATCAATCATAAAAATGCATTATAATATAATAATTATAATAATTTTAAATAATTATAGATAAAAAAAATAAAACACTAAAAATAAAAGAACATGGAAATATCAAATTAGAATAAATAATAAAAAACTAAATAAAACTAAATATGTATTAAATCATAAAAAAGGTAAAATGAAAACAAATAAATGACGTTTAAAATCAAAATGAAACACTAAAAGTGATTCATTTTTTCAGGATTCACAGATGAACAGAAAGTTCAAAAGAACAGCATTTATTTTGTAACATTATAAATGTCACTTTTGCTCAATTTAATGCGTCCTTGCTGAAACAAAGTATTGATTTAAAGTCTCACTGACCCCAAACGTTTGAACACTGGTGTGTGTTCTAGATCAGTGCTGGGTTTTGCAGCACTGACTCTTGCTCGTCTGTTGATCAGCCGT